TACACCAGGCCACTACACCAGGCCACTACACCATGCCACTACACCAGGCCACTACACTACGCTACTACACCAGGTCACTACACCAGGCTACTACACCACGCCACTACACCAGGCCACTACACCATGCCACTACACCAGGCCAGTACACTACGCTACTACACCAGGGCCACTACACCAGGCCACTACACCAGGCCACTACACCAGGCTACTACACCAGGCCACTACACCAGGCTACTACACCAGGCTACTACACCAGGCCACTACACCAGGCCACTACACCAGGCTACTACGCCAGGCTACTACACCAGGCCACTACACCAGGCTACTACACCAGGCCACTACACCAGGCTACTACACCAGGCCACTACACCAGGCTACTACACCAGGCCACTACACCAGCCTACTACACCACGCTACTACACCAGGCCACTACACCAGGCCACTACACCATGCTACTACACCAGGCTACTACACCAGGCCACTACACCAGGCCACTACACCAGGCTACTACACCAGGCTACTACACAAGGCCACTACACCATGCTACTACACCAGGCTACTACACCAGGCCACTACACCAGGCCACTACACCAGGCTACTACACCAGGCTACTACACCAGGCCACTACACCAGGCCACTACACCAGGCCACTACACCAGGCTACTACACCATGCTACTACACCAGGCTACTACACCAGGCCACTACACCAGGCCACTACTCCAGGCTACTACACCAGGCTACTACACCAGGCTACTACACAAGGCTACTACACCAGGCCACTACACCAGGCTACTACACCAGGCTACTACACCAGGCTACTACACCAGGCAACTACACCAGGCCACTACACCAGGCCACTACACCAGGCTACTACACCAGGCCACTACACCAGGCTACTACACCAGGCTACTATACCAGGCTACTACACCAGGCTACTACACCAGGCCACTACACCAGGCCACTACACCAGGCCACTACACCAGGCTACTACACCAGGCTACTACACCAGGCTACTACACCAGGCTACTACACCAGGCTACTACACCTGGCCACTACACCAGGCTACTACACCAGGCCACTACACCAGGCCACTACACCAGGCTACTACACCAGGCTACTACACCAGGCCACTACACCAGGCTACTACACCAGGCTACTACACAAGGCCACTACACCAGGCTACTACACCATGCTACTACACCAGGCTACTACACCAGGCCACTACACCAGGCTACTACACCATGCTACTACTCCAGGCCACTACACCAGGCCACTACACCAGGCTGCTACACCAGGCTACTACACCAGGCCACTACACCAGGCCACTACACCAGGCTACTACACCAGGCCACTACACCAGGCCACTACACCAGGCCACTACACCAGGCCACTACACCAGGCCACTACACCAGGCTACTACACCAGGCTACTACACCAGGCCACTACACCAGGCTACTACACCAGGCCACTACACCAGGCCACTACACCAGGCCACTACACCAGGCTACTACACCAGGCCACTACACCAGGCTACTACACCAGGCTACTATACCTGGCTACTACACCAGGCTACTACACCAGGCCACTACACCAGGCCACTACACCAGGCCACTACACCATGCTACTACACCAGGCCACTACACCAGGCTACTACACCAGGCTACTACACCAGGCCACTACACCAGGCCACTACACCAGGCTACTACACCAGGCTACTACACCAGGCCACTACACCATGCTACTACACCAGGCTACTACACCAGGCCACTACACCACGCTACTACACCAGGCTACTACACCAGGCCACTACACCATGCTACTACACCAGGCCACTACACCAGGCTACTACACCAGGCTACTACACCAGGCCACTACACCAGGCCACTACACCAGGCTACTACACCAGGCTGCTACACCAGGCTACTACACCAGGCCACTACACCAGGCCACTACACCAGGCTACTACACCAGGCCACTACACCAGGCTACTACACCAGGCCACTACACCAGGCCACTACACCAGGCCACTACACCAGGCTACTACACCAGGCTACTACACCAGGCCACTACACCAGGCTACTACACCAGGCCACTACACCAGGCCACTACACCAGGCTACTACACCAGGCCACTACACCACGCTACTACACCAGGCTACTACACCAGGCCACTACACCATGCTACTACACCAGGCCACTACACCAGGCTACTACACCAGGCTACTACACCAGGCCACTACACCAGGCCACTACACCAGGCTACTACACCAGGCTACTACACCAGGCCACTACACCAGGCTACTACACCAGGCCACTACACCAGGCTACTACACCAGGCCACTACACCAGGCTACTACACCAGGCTACTACACCAGGCCACTACACCAGGCCACTACACCAGGCTACTACACCAGGCTACTACACCAGGCCACTACACCAGGCCACTACACCAGGCTACTACACCAGGCCACTACACCAGGCCACTACACCAGGCCACTACACCAGGCCACTACACCAGGCTACTACACCAGGCCACTACACCAGGCCACTACACCAGGCTACTACACCAGGCCACTACACCAGGCCACTACACCAGGCTACTACACCAGGCCACTACACCAGGCCACTACACCAGGCTACTACACCAGGCTACTACACCAGGCTACTACACCAGGCCACTACACCAGGCCACTACACCAGGCCACTACACCAGGCCACTACACCAGGCTACTACACCAGGCTACTACACCAGGCTACTACACCAGGCTACTACACCAGGCTACTACACCAGGCCACTACACCAGGCCACTACACCAGGCCACTACACCAGGCTACTACACCAGGCTACTACACCAGGCTACTACACCAGGCTACTACACCAGGCCACTACACCAGGCCACTACACCAGGCCACTACACCAGGCCACTACACCAGGCCACTACACCAGGCCACTACACCAGGCCACTACACCAGGCTACTACACCAGGCCACTACACCAGGCCACTACACCAGGCCACTACACCAGGCCACTACACCAGGCTACTAGCTGAATAAAAATGATGAACCCACCTTTCTTATGATGCTTTATTTTACCAAATGTAGAAATATATTTTTATGTTTTTACATTTCCTATTGTATTTATATATGAGGATTTTACCTTGAAACACTTTATAAAAGGGGTCACATAGTTTCAAATTACGTACAAAAGACGTCACAAAGTTTTAAATTAGGGTACAAAAGGCGTCACAACGTTTCAAATTAGGGTACAAAAGACGTCACAACGTTTCAAATTAGGGTACAAAAGACGTCACAACGTTTCAAATTAGGGTACAAAAGGCGTCACAACGTTTCTGATTAGTGTTAGGTACGTAGGTTTTGGTTATAAGTTTTGGAAACCTATTTAATTCCACACAAAGTATCGTATCTGATACGATAAAACAAACGTTTCCAATCTTTTCAAACACTTTCCAGATATGTTGTGGCAACCTTAAATTGTTTGCTGGGCTGGAGAGTCCCCCCTTGAGTGTTCACCAGGAGTCCCCCATGAGTGTTCACCTAGAGTCCCCCCTGAGTGTTCACCTGGAGAGTCCCTCCCACAGTGTTCACCTGGAGAGTCCCCCACCCCGAGTGTTCATCTGGAGAGTCCCCCGCAGAGTGTTCACCTGGAGAGTCGTCCTCTCCAAGAGTGTTCACCAGTAGATTCCCCCCTTGAGTGTTCACCCGGAGAGTCCCTCCCAGAGTGCTTACCTGGAGAGTCCCCCTCCCAGAGTGTTCACCTGGAGAGTCCCCCTTCCAGAGTGTTCACCAGGAAAGTCCCCCCCTGAATGTTCACCTGGAGACCCCCCCACCCCCCGGAGTGTTCGCCTGAAGAGTTGCCCCCAGATCGTTCACTTGGAGAGTCCCCCCCCCCCCCAGAGTGTTCATCTGGAGAGTCCCCCTTCCAGAGTGTTCACCAGGAGAGTCCCCCAGAGTGTTCACCTGGAGATTCCCCCTCCCGGAGGGTTCACCAGGAGAGTCCCCTCTCATATTGTTCACCTGGAGAGTCACCCTATAATATTCACCAGGAAAGTCCCCTCAGAGTGTTCACCAGGAGAGTCCCCCTTCCCAGAGTGTTCACTTGGAGAGGCCTTCCAGAGTGTTCACCAGGAGAGTCCCTTCAGAGTGTTCACCAGGAAAGTCCCCTCAGAGTGTTCACCAGGAGAGTCCCTTCAGAGTGTTCACCAGGAGAGTCCCCTCTAGAGTGTTCACCAGGAGAGTCCCTTCAGAGTGTTCACTAGGAGAGTCCCCCCAAGAGTGTTCACCTTGTAACGGGGGGGGGGGGGTGAGGGAAACCGCTTTTGCCCATTATCCCGCCCTTAATTAACTATTCTGCCACGAACGTATAAGAAAAACGAAAGGAAAGAAATGAAGTAATGAGTGAAGATTAGGGGTGAGGGAGGTAGCGAGGAGGGAGGAGGAGGAGGTGGGAGGAGTAAGGAGTGTCGTCAGGTGAAAGGGAAAGTGGGAGTGTGGCGGATGAAGAGGAGAGGGAAAGTAAGAAGTGGTGGTAGGGGTAGAAGGGTTGATAAGTAGAAGTAGAAAGTGCTGCCACCATCCGTTCTAGTTCATTACATTCACGACCAGGAATGGAACTTGTCTGTACATTAAGCTGTTAACAAATGTCATATATATCATGTTTCATCTGTATCATAATCTTGTTCCATCTACCAACTGTAACCAGGTACGCCTATGTAATGAGTAAACTAAGAGGCTTTCTCGCCTCAACTCACAAAGTTCTAGGGAGCCAAATTAAAGACAATTTAAACAAGTAAATTAACATATATTTAAGCAAAGATAAGTAGCATCATTCAAGCACTCGAACTGAAGGTTCACTCTGTCAGGATTACTATACTACGTGAGTCATTACACAGAACTTTGAGAACCATTACAGCTGTCTGACCCCAAGATAATCACACAACACAATTGTAACCACGACTACGTCACCTTAATGTTCAACTCAC